TCGGCCCGGATGTTTAGTAAAGCAGTTAATGCTCCCAATTGCATTCTAATCTTATCTCCATGTTCTCGACAAATATTTTTCCACCATTTTCTCAGCTTGTGTGGTGCTCCCATGACCATATTGATTTCGGGGATGTTGTGGTTGATTTCCATTATGAAGAGGTGAAGAAAGAGGTTCAGTAAGTGTTTGCTCCGGATCTTTTGCGTCTCATCAGGGTTGGTTCGTCGTTCCACAAAAGACATGTCGATGGGTGCATGATCCGTTAACATTAAGGTGGCTTTCCTAATTGTGTGTCGATGTAAAGGACCGACTCACCTAAGGTTTATGGAGTATGACCTATGTTTATTAGAGCTGAGTGTTTCCTAATTCTTGGAGTTGGACTGATTACTACGAGACGTTATATCAGTTGACCTGACAAAGCCGTTCTTTGAGACTAAAGAATTTTGAACGAAGGTTCGGAGGGGTGTAAAAGACAACCCTCATATGCCATTGTGTTTGATAGTGTATGGCCAGGATACAATAGGAAAGAATATGATGACAATGTATATAAAGCGGTAATAGATAGTGTGATAACAGTAATATATCAAAGTAGGCAGATAAGTACATGTTGAACAAGTAAGATAGGTAAGCACATATTCTCAAAATTAAGCACGGTTAAAGTAGCATATTACCAAACATCCCTAAATTTTAGATCTAGTCTAAGTCTGCTAAGGTCAGAACCTAAGTGTTAATCCACATCAGAGTCGTCATGTTGTTGCACACTATTTTACACAAGTCAAAAACAAGATTCAACTAGTGGTTTTCCCGTTGTTGATGAAAGAGTGTCGCCACCTAATATTTAAAGGTATACTAGGGTACCTATTCAGTTATTAAATTATTATCCTATTAGTCTACTAACCGGTGAGATTTGGGTAAGGGTTCTTGTTCGTCTAACCTTGCATTACCACCTAGTCTATCGAGTGTTCATCCAGTATTTCATGTTTCCATACTCCAGAAGTATTTCGGTAATTTGACTCATGTTTTGGACTTCAACACGATTTAGTTAGATGGGGATTTGACTTATGATGTTGAGCCGGTGGCCATTTTGGATCGACAGGTTTGAAAGTTGAGGTCAAGAATATAGCTTCCGTGAAGGTGCAATGGAGAGGTCAGCCAGTCAAGGAGGCCACTTGGGAGACTGAGCGGGAGATGCGGAGCAGATATTCATTCCTATTTGAGACCCAAGGTATGACTCTAGACCCGTTCGAGCACAAACGTTTGTTTAAGAGGGGGAGAATGTAACTACCCGATCGGTCATTTTGAGTATGGTAGTCCTGTTCCCCCATTTATTTCTTATGCTATGCTCAATTGTTGATATGTGACTTGCCGGGGTGGTTGGTTTGGTTCCGGGGATGTTTCATAATGGATTGGGATACATAGTCCCATGGTTGGAAGCCTAAGTTGAAAGAGTTAACCGGATGTTGACTTATATGTAAATGACTTCGGAATAGAGTTTTGATATTTCTGATAGCTCCATATGGTGATTTTGGACTTAGGAGTGTGTCCGGATATTGATTTGGAGGTCTGTAGGTGATTTTAACTTGAATTGGCGAAAGTTGGAAAAGCTGAAGTTTGGAGAGTTGAGAAGTTTGACCGAGAGTTGACTTTGTGGTTACCTGGCTCAGATATTGGTTCCGAAAGTTAGAATAGGTCTGTTGTGTCATTTATGACTTGTGTGAAAATTTTGAGGTTAATCGGAGTTGGTTTGGTATGTTTCGGCATTAGTTTTGGAAGTTAGAAGTTCATAAATTCATTAGGCTTGAATCGATATGCGATTCGTGGTTTTAGTATTGTTTTATGTGATTTGAGGCATCGAGCGAGTTCGTATAATATTTTAGGATATGTTGGTATGTTTGGATAGGGCCCCGGGGGCCTCGTTTGTGATTTGGATCATGTTCGGCTCACTTTTGGACTTGTTGGACTGTTGTTATGTCTGTTGCTAGTTTCCTTATATGCGATTGCAAGTGGAAGTCCGCAATCGCGAAGTGTTGTTTGGGCGACTGGTGAAATTATTCTACACGTTCGCGAGAATAGGTCTGCGATCGCGAAGCTTGGAGAGTTAGTGCTACACGAACACGTGATGGGTGCAACATTCACGATGAAGGAAGAGGAGGCATGGGAAGTCAGGCACGTTGCTCTACGCGATTGCTTGAGTGTGTCTGTGATCGCGTACCTTTGGAGGAATTAATCACCGCATTTGCGATGGTTTGTTCACGTTCACGAAGAGTATTTTGAGGGTAGCATATTTTGTTCTTCGCGATCGAGAGAGACTTTCCGCGATCGCGGAGAGAAGTCACTGGGCAGTAGTGTTAAATATCAAAATCGAGGGTTTGAACCCATTTCTCATATTTTGAGCTAGATACCTTGGATTTGGGCGATTCTTGAAGGGATGTTAAAGGAGTTGATTGGGGTAAGTGATTCTAACTCGGTTTTGGTTGTTATACATGAATCTGTCATTATTTTTAACATTTAATTAGTGTTTTGGGTTGGAAAAATTGGGGAAACTTGGTGAAACTTCATAGACCATAATTTGAGGATTTGGAGGTTGAGTTGAGATCGGAATTGTGTAATTTTGGTATGGTTTGACTCGTTATTGAATGAGTGTTCGGATTTTGTTAATTTTGTCAAATTCCGAGCATGAGCCCGGGGTTGACTTTTTAACTTTTGTTAAAGAACTTAGCTTTATCATATGGAATTGATTCCTATAGCTTGTGTTGATTGTATTAAGTTGTTTATAGCTAGATTCGAGTCGTTCGGAGGCCGATTCGCAAGGCAAGGGTGTGTTAGAGTAGTGATTTGTACAGTTTGAGGTAAATAACACTTCTAAACTTGATACTGAGGTATGAATCCCTAAACTACGTGTTATGTGATTGGTGTTGAGCTGACAAACATGCTAGGTCACGGGCGTGTGGGCGTGCACCTTAGTAATTGTGACTCGGTTAATTCTGTGGAACTGTGTAGTTGTCTAATCTTTTTATTATTCATGTATTCTCCATGTGTTAGAAAAATTGGGCTGTGAATCATGTTAAAAATCATATTTAGGCTATATGCTGGTACTATTGGGACCCACAAAGGTCATTTTTGTTGTTGAGTTATTTGCTTAAATTACAGTTATGTACTCAGTCGCATTCATTATTAGCATATCATATCTCAGTCTCTGTAATCATTATTGTTACATCATGTATCACTGTTTTGGGTTGATTGGCATGAGTTTTGTGAGCCCGAGAGACTAGAGAGATTGATGACTGAGTGACGCCGAGGGCCTGATTGTGAGTTATATTTATGGGATCGGGCTACACGCCGCAGCATGGCATAATTGTCTTATATTAGCGCTTGGGCAGGATCCACCCCTCCGGAGTCCGACATATCAGTAGTGAACACAAGTACCTATGAGTGCGAGTGCCGAGCGATTGAGGGTGCTGAGTGATTGAGAGTGTTGACTGATTGAGAGTGCTGAGTGATTGGGACTGCCGAGTGATTGAGCATGCTGAGTGAGGATGAATATTCCGAGAGTATGAGTTTATGACTTTATCTCTGTGTTGCATTACAGTTGACATGCATACTTGACATATAGACATCGAGATGTGACATACGTCATATTAGTCATACTTGGCATATTTTATCCGTGTTATGCTCAATGTAAGGCCCCATGAATTTTTTTCTAAAAACCGGGATTTCGTGATGCCGGGGTAGGCGTAGAGGTTAATCACTTCTGCGGCCCATTATGCGGTTGTATAATCACTCTGCGGGCCGCAGAATGGCCGCAGAGTGACATAGTTTTCTGGACCATTTCGCGGGCCGCACTCTGATCGTATATCCAGCTTTGAGATTTTTGCGGAGGGAGGTTCTGTGGCGCATTATGCAACCGCAGAACATGTTTGCGGGCCGCATAACGACCGCAGACCCAGACAAAGTTTTCCATTTTTTGGCACCAAATTGTGCGGCCGATATGCGGACCGCATATCCATTCTGCGACCGCAGATCTTGTCTCGGGGCTTCATTTTTGGGGTTTTTAAACCCGAGTTCAAAATGTAGAATATGTGCTAGAAATGTTAAGACTTCAAGTCAAGATCGAAATAAAGGTTGTTATGCCAACTTGTATGAAAAGCCTCTATGTGCCTAAGATTCCCAAATTGCTCGTATGTGAATTTAATATCTTGAATGGAAAGCCTTATTGTTGTTGATAATGATAATGATATTTGAATGTGGGAAAAGGGGACTAAAATTATGAAATACGGCCAAGTGCCAAGAATGACTTTATAATTATGGCCACTAGTGCCAATAAATTGAAAGGATATGAAAGAAGTATGATGTGAGATGATTGACTGAAAAAGGTGATGTCTTGGGTGAGATGGCCTAGCCGATCGGGCCGTGATCGGACGCCATATCGCATACATGGTGGTGACTGTGCTGGGAATGATAATTGACTTTGTGGTTATGGTTTATGTCTCAAATGAGACGACCTAGCCGGTCGGGTCGTGATCGGACTCCGTGTAAGAATACAGAAGTATTTTTAATTATGGTATATCGGCATTAAAGATCACCCAACCTAATAACATGGAAATTGACTCGAAAATTTATGTGATTCTTAACTTGATGTTTTAGTATTACACTAATTCTATTGGAACGGTTATTTTGCAACGGTTAGAGAACTGTTGCAACAGATTATGTTTTGGAACGGTTTTAATCGTCCCAATAGAGTGAAAAGGCTTTTGGAACACTTCTGAAGCAAAACCGTTCCAATAGGATAGTAACCATCACCATAAATAAAACTATGAAAACAGTTTATAAAAGTGATATAATAGGGTTATTTATGGGAACTGTGTGGTAAAATAAAATATATATTGTGACCGTTTATTTTTTCCTCCCTACTTTCCCTCTTACATATTTATTAAAAAAAGAAAAAAAAAAATAGATGAGCCCACAAAATTTTAATACTAACTCTTTAATTTATTTTGTAAGTTAGAAAAGTGAAGCATTTCGTCTCTCTATTGTCTCATCTAAAGCCTTTCGTCTCTCAAGTCTTAAACCTAGAAAAAATCGCTATCGACGAACTGTGCGGCCTGCTCCGGCGAAGGAAGATCCATTCCGACGAAGGACAACCATTTTGGCTAATATAAGGGAATCTCAGATGTAGGTTGTCGGTATTTTACCCATGTTCGATATTTTCTATGGTTGTTTGATGTTCGCTATTGTTTCGCTGGAAAATTGTTTCGCTACTTCTTCTGTTTTCTTTCTCTGGTGAGATTTTTGATAAACCCATTAATTTACTCTGTCCTTTGTTTGTATTATATGATAAATTTTGTGGTTTCTAGTTTGTAAAATTGGGGGTTTAGTTGGTGGGTTTTGATAGATGAAAGGGCTGTTGAGAATAGATCAATTTCATGTTGAAATCGTTTTCTAGTATGGATTTTGTTATCAATAATGGGTCTTATTCTACATTTTCTTTCTTCACAATGATGCTTTGTACTCTTTGAAGAAAGAGACTTAGAGGGTGTTTGGCTAAGCTGGTCAAACTAGCTTATAAGCACTTTTCGGCTTATCTACGCGTTTGGTAAAGTTAAAAGTGCTTATAAGCCAAGTGCTTATAAGTCAAAAATAAGCCAAAAGCCGTAAGATGGTCACCCCAGCTTATAAATTTTTAGCTTAGAAGCACTTTAAGTTTGACCAAAATTTTTACTATTTTATCATTAAAATATTCTTTTTTAGAACAAAACTATTACATCGATACTCACTACTTCAAGTACTATTTCAACCTAACCCCCGCTCTTCAAGTCTGCAATGTCCATTGACTATTTAAGATAAGTAAATTCTTTATTCCTTTGCATATTTATATCTATGTGATTGTGTATTAATCTTTGAACTGTATGTAATAAATGAGGACATATCAAATTTTTGGTGTGTTGCTTTCTAAATGTTGTGGTGATAAAGACAATGTTTGTTTCTCTTCAAATATTTTGTCCTATTTAGGTTTATTTTTTATTGAGAAACTTTTATCAATTTATTAATTATTATAACTTATGATTATATGTTTATCATAAAATAAATAATATTTATCATAAAAATTATCTTATCTAAGCACAGTTGTATTTAAAATAAAATGACAAATAGAATATTTTGTATTTGGATCGATTTGGAATCTAAAATTTTGAATAAATTACGCCCTTATAAGTATAAACACTTCTAAGGTTATTTAAGTCATTATAACAGAAAAAGAGCTTATCAGCACTTTTTTTTATCAAATACAGCAACAACTTATTATCAATTTCAGCACTTGTATCCAAACACGTAACTGCTTATTTATTAAATCAGTTTTAGCACTTAAAAGTGCTTTTCAGCACCTAATGCTTATCAGCTAATTCATATCAGCTAATCCAAACGGCCTCTTACTCGGTAATGAACAATTACAATACAAGTATAATAAAATATCATCTCTGTTGGTTCATATTGCTCCTGCACTTAATGTCAACTGCCTAATGAAACTAATACTAACTTACTAATACTAACTTTCAATAAAGTGTTTCTGAGAATTAGTGTTGCATATTTATTTTTGTTTGTTGCTTCTTTCCCACATAATAGGATTATAAACTTTCCTCACAATGTGGGGGCTTCAATTTGAATGAAAAATGAAAAATCATTCACTTTCCTGATAATTACTACAGGCAATGAGCTAGACAATGTGGGCTGACACTAAAAGTTGGACAGACGCTTTGGGTGTCCAAAGTGGTTTGTTGTCCAACACTGACTAACTGCCATGTTACAAATAATCCTTCTTGTCTTGTTGTTCCATGGACGAAGCATTATATGATTGCACTTTTTAGAACATTCATAGAACCTTAAATTTGGTGAATTGGTCTTGCGTATACATAATTGATTGTTAAACATCTGTAGTAACTCATGCATCACATCTTTGATTAAATAATGGGGAATTCATAGAAGTTGAAGTGTAGCATCTGCAACAGAAGATAATGACAACAATCTTCCAACTTGCTTGCATGTTGCTTGTTTGCGGGTTAGCTGTTTCATTTTATTGAAAAATGACTTTCCGTGAGTAATAAAATATTTTTGTGATTCTGAACAGCTGATTTAGCGGAGCAATTTTTTCATGGGATTCTTCTGCTTGGGCCATATCAGATAGAGGTTTATTTTTTCATACAAGTAATATATTGTGTGAATTTGCATTGGTCATAGCGACAAAATAGGATCTGTTCATGAGTGATGAAAGTAAAACTGACTTCCTTAGTGTCATGTTTTAAAGTTATTTGTATATACCCCGTTAAATATCATATACGATTTGACATACTTAGTCCCCATTTAGGAATCCATTTATTAGGACTCACTTGTTTCCAATTTAAGGTAATGAGCTCTCTTTCTAGTTTAAATTTCTACTCAATTCACCTTTTCACTTTTCCAATAGTAGGATCTAGAACTAGGAAACTAGCAAAAACATAGCAGAGTCTTTATTATATTAACAAATTCCCAGCAGAGTTAACTTTTTTTCAAAATATGGTAAAATCCCTACAATTAAGGAAACTGACTAATTATGAAATTAATTCAAACCTAAAAGATATCCATTTAGTATGATATTAATTAACCACTTATTAAGAGATATTATGTTATTTCAAATCGCTTCGTAGATCTCTTCTTTAGAGTAAGAATTTTCTGTTGTTTATTCATAGTCATATTGATCACCTTCATAGTTTTTCACCTTTTTCATCTTCTTGCTGATGCTTTTTCCTACACTCATATCCATCATCATCTTCACAACATTATTATTATATAGTATATATTGTATGATATATAGTAATTGTGGGAAAAGAGAAGTTTGGTGATAAGACATACAATAAAGGAATTTGACAGAATGGTTCCTTCTGTACTACAATTAACTATAATAAAGTGATCTGGTATAGTGATTCTAAAGAAATCATATACCTTGTGCTTTGAGCTTGTTATGTATTTCAGAAATGAAACTCGAATGCAACATATTCTTGAAGATGTTCCAGCTTCTCAGTTTAAGGAACTCCTTAGGTATTGGAACTCTGAGAAACTCCAGGTATGTGACTTTTTACTTGTTCTTCTTCGTCTTCTTGAACTTCTTCTTAAAATTCTTCTTCTTTTTCTTCTTTCTGGAGATGTTTTCTCCTTCTTCTTGGCCATTGCTGTTGTCTTTCCCTTCTTTCTCTGCTTCACTGCTGCTGTTTTTTTTCTTTTCGTTTTTCACTTTGTTGCTACTGCATATACACTCTGCTCGCCGCTGTTGCTATTTTTAAAGACTAGCCAAAGACCTTGCAATCTGAAATTTCCTATAACTACTAAACAAAATACAATCATAATTGGACAAGGTGTACAACATCAAAAGACGATTAAGCTATAAGCAGAAACGATTAAAAGCAGATATAACTTGGAAATATTGTAGAATGCCAAAATTGAAGATGTCTTGGCTTCATCAGAAGTGTCAAATTTCTAGTCATTGAGTACTATTGTGGAGATATTATTGCAGTTGCTCCATACTCATGATTGAAGCAAGAAAACCACTAGTTTGGACCAAAAAACTCTGCAGAAAACTTCAGCAAATAATAGCATGTAGGCAGAATGCTGGGACAAAAATGACCTAGAATGAGAAAAGTATCACAATAGGTTTCTTTCTTTATTTTTCTACTATATTAGAAGTGCGAGTGCACTAGGTGAAGCAGGGTGGTCTTCGTCGACATGCCTGCTTTACCTAAAATATATTTGCCACTCCTTTTGTATATTATTACCCCAGTTGCCATCACAAAGTTTTGTAAATATTTGAAACTTCTTAGTCATTCTCAGGGCCCATATTGTCAGCCCCAATCCCATTTGTGCTGTATTTCCTGACTGTCTGCCTTATAGAAAATATCTTGGTCCCTGCTTTTATATTTTATTACTTCAATTGCCATCGTACATTTTAGTAAATAAAGAAAACATTTGAGGCATTTTTAAGGCCCAAATTGTCAGCCTCAATTGTGTTGTATGTAGAGATTTTACTCCACGTGAAACCAAACATTTGCTCCGTATTTTTGAAGCTAAGCTTAAACAGAAACAAGAATAGAAAGATCCTTAAACTTTGTTTGAAATGAAAAACAATGTCTAGAACCTGGTGGTAACCATTGAAAGACTTATTAATACTTTACTATTGTTTCACTCATTAGTTCTTAATTATAACATCGAGCAAAATTAATAAAAAGGGAAAAAGATGATTCATTCTTAATTTAGTATTCTTCTATACTTTATCGTATCAACTTTTGTATACTCGAGCTTAATTATTTATTCAACATGTTTACTACTAAACTTAAAAATATAGTCATCTATTAGTTCCTAATCAGTGTTATTTGTCAAAGCTTTTGATAGAGTTGTGATATTAAAGCAACTGAGCTACACAAATGATTTTTTAGAATGATCATGTCCAAATGGTTTCACTACCTAGCAATAAAATGATGAATTGGGTCATTATTGATTTCTTTCAACTTTGATCGTACTCAAAATATAAGTTATTAATGTAAGTTATTAATTTTAATATAAAAATAATATCTCCTCGAAATATATCTTACACTCACTCATTATTTATAACTATCTTTTTTTTATAACCGTGGTGTTCGGGCAAGCTTGCGTGCACCTCGACTAATTCCACGGGATACCTGCAACCTCCCACCAGCAACATGTACCAGGTAACTCTATCCACCAAGGCTTGGATAGATGGGAAGAAATCACTTAGTGTTTGCATCCGTTGGAATTTGAACCTCAGACCTCATGGTTCTCACCCACTTCATTGACCACTAGGCCACACCTTTGGGTGCTATTATTTATATCTATCTTTAATATCATACTCGAAATTTAAATATAATAACTCTATCTAAAAATTTAGCTAAAATTATTGAATCGTCAAATGATATGTAGTGTTCAATCTAGAGAAAGTTGACACATAAAGGATGTTTTAAATAGTATTTATTCATTAGCAAATATAGACAAAGCACACCTAAGCAGTTAAATATTTTGCGAAGTTTCCCTTGATGTTTGAGAACATTGATTAAAAGTTAATATTTTTTACACGATATGTTCTATGAAAGCACTAGTTAAAATAGTATAATATTAGAATTTTATTTTATTTTAAATAGTACTTTTAATTGCAATGTGCGCACGGGCTTTATTGCTCCTAGTAAACAAAGAGACGAAGAGTTTAGCAGCATCTAATAAGATCAATTAAGGCGATTCCATTTCGAATGTCATAGATAGAAACAGAGAAGCTAGGACATGATTACTGTTGTCGAAGTCGTCTGCCCATTGATGTCAATATTAGAAATGTGCTCTCTTCATTAACCAACAATATTTGGCTGACAGAAACATTAAAGCATATACTCTATCATGACAATATCATAACTGCTTTGAAATACTCGCAGTGTGCCCTCATGAAATTGTCTCCATTAGATTACGACCAAGAAATAACACTATCAGCTAGGGAATAAAATCATCTTGAACATTAATTTCCTTGATTGATGATATTTTAAGGATAAAATTTCTTTGAGTGAGATACTTAGGGGACTAGTCAGGCAAAAAGAACTCCAGTAATGTCTATTAAACATATAATTCTGATTACCACACTCTGAAAATGACAAACCAAAATATTCCTCTAACAACAAAAGATGGTCTATCAGGATAGCTACAAGCTGTAACATCCTCAAGAACAAAGCCAATAACAAAGCTAGATGAATGTTGAAAGAAACTAGAAAAATAGAAATTACATAACAATGGATGGGGGTTGCAAGAACTTCTTTGAGAGGGAAAGTAGGATGTTATGAACCATCTTCAAATACTTCAAATTCTATACAAAAATCGAAGGAGAAGATACAAAAGAATGGAGGAAAAAATTGAGGAACAAAAGGGAACTATCCGTCAAGAAGTTATTGCAGATGTCCTTGCACGACTTCAGCGTTCAAGAATTGATATTGATGCTAACATTATTCTAGCGGCATTGGGTGATAATTCATCGGGAGAAGCTTCATCTGCACAACAAACAACTTTGCAACCAATCCGTCATCCATCTACTGGAAGCAACAAAGAAGGCCAACTCATTCTAGGTATTAGCTCATTGACTATTCAATAATTTTTGTGAGATCTACTGTCTTAGGTTGGTACTTCATGTGCTGCACTTAATTATTTAAATGAGGTTGCGATTGGAGTGACTGTTACTTGAGAAGATTGAATAATTTAGTTGTGATGTTGTTCTGTGATGTAATAGTGTTCGAAGATGTTATGGCCGATTGTTGCTTAAAAAATACCAGACTGGAGAGTTGTTTAATATGGTTTGTCTGTTGCTGATTCTGGTTTGTTGTATGTTGTTAAAGAAGTTAAACATCATTGTAACAGACGGGAGAGTTGAAAATTATTGTTGTGTATAGCATAATGTTATTTTGAGCAAGTTAAAATTTTTGGGATAGTCGTATCCACAAAAGAAACTCTGCCGAAAATTTTAAAATTTTAGAGAGTTAGAAAATTTTTGAGTTATCAGATTGGTCATTCAATTATCTTAAATTTTTTTTTTAAAATATTTTTGATTGAATTTTGTAGGTGCAACAGTTGCGGTTGAAAGCAGTGATGAAGACCTTACTTAGTGTTGTTGATAGTTGTTAGACTTTCTATCATCATGTTCAAGGATATTTTAGTTTAGAACTTTTTGTATACAAATTGAAACTCATCTACTTTGACTTTTGAGTTGTTGACCAAACAATGTATTCATATTTTGTTTTTGTATATGGATAATGCGAGTTGGATATTTTAATCTTATTTTGTGGCTTGTATAAGTTATGGTGTATAAACTTTCATTGCATTGGAAAATATTCCTCATTTTGCTTCCATCAATATTAGAAATTACAATAGTGGATCGTTGCAATAGAAAATATAACCGTTCTAATAGATCTAGCAAACAATAATAGTAGCCCTCTGTTAATCGTTGCAATATGTTGCAATACCTATAATTGTTGCAATACATAACATAATCGTTGATATATATCATGAAAACCGTCACAATAGACTTAAAAAAATTGTTGGTATAATTATAACACAACGGTTTATAACCGTCCCAACATAACAGAAAATCGTTCCCATAGATTGATCAATGGTAACAGTTTTATAACCGTTACAATAGCCATATACAGAGACGGTTTTGAAACCATTACAATTAACCGTTTCAGTTGACCTATTGTAACGTTGAATCTTGGAACGCGTCCCAAACCGTCCCATTATCCCTACAGGGACGGTTACAGTATCTATAGCTACGGTTTTGAAAGGGTTGCCATAAGCCTAATTTCTAGTAGTGTTATTTGAAGCTCTTATTGAATTCTTGATTATTCCCCCTTGTATCATTATTCATTCTATTGAGATAGTGCTTAGTTTTACATACTAGTACTATTCGACAGTACTAACGTCCCTTTTGCCGGGGGAGTTGCATCTTTAAATGGATGCAGGTGGTTCTATAGCATGCAGTGTTGATCGGCGATAGTGGTACATCCTCTTCCCAGCAGACTTGGTGAGCCCCACTTCATCCCTGGGTCACGTATTGTATCTTTTGTTCATATTATTATCACGTCTCGAGGTATAGCCGCGGCCTTGTTGCCGGCACTATCATAACACCCTTTTGTATATTTTAGAGGCTCCGTAGACACTATGTGGGTTGTACATGGGTGCTAGAAAAGTCAAACAGTTTATGTTGTGTTTTGATCTCTTGTTTTACTTGAATAATAAGAATGTGTGTATTTTTGAACTTTAAAATGATGTAACCAATGAGACGATTTAGTATTGTATATATGAACTTCCTATTGTTTAATTAATGAAATCATGTATTCTCTTGGCCATGGGTGAGTTGGATAGAAAGTATCTACAGGCTTGCTCCCCGAGGTAGGGGCGTGACACTCAAACTGTTAAAAACTAGAAAGCATGTCTACATTTCTGTACTGTCTACAAATTGATTATTGGATCTTTCTCTGCGCATTTGCTGTTATTATCTGGAGTTGGACTGTACCTATCTGAGCTCGTCACTGCTCTCAACCCAAGGTTAGTCTTGTTACTTATTGAGTACATTGGGTCAGTTGTACTCATACTACACTATGCACTTCGTATGCAGATCCAGGTACTTCTGGGCACCGCAATTGCTAGGTTTGGAGCTTCATCTGCTTGGAGACTTTTGAGGTAGCTTCTTTGGTATCCGCAGACCTCGACTCTCCTTCTTTTCCTTTATTTAGCACTTTTCTATCTTTCCAGACAGTTGTATTTGAAGTCTAGACTGTATTGTCATTTCGATGCTCATGTACTCAGTGACATCCGGATTTTGAGAATGTTGTATGTGAGTCGCAGTATTTCTTATCGACTATTTATGAGAGTTATTATTGTTAAACCTATTTTATCTTGTTTTCAATTTAAAAATGCGTGGTTATTTGTGGTTTTCGGGTTGCCTAGTACTGTGATTGGCTCCATCACGACATGTTGAGTTTTGGGTGGTGACATGATTTAAATGTAATTATACACTCTGTCATGTTCTTCATTTGCATATCATATCTCAGTCTTTGTTCATCGTTCATCGCTACGTCACATGTTATTATTGCTTTTTTCATATGTGGAGTTGTTGGGCTGAGTGGTATGAGATTGTGAGCCCTCGAGACATGAGAGGTTGATGACTGAGATGTGTCGTAGAGCCGAGTTGATTGGGATTGGGCTGCACGGCGCAGCAGGCCATACTGGCTTTATTATGAGATAAAGCCATATCATGGTATATATGAGATAGATATGAAATATTCGACATAGATATGTTTCTGAAATATGGATTTATGAGAAACTAGCATGAAAAATACTAGGTTGGAAGAGGTAGATATACCTCAAAACAGAGGTAGATATACCTCAAAACCTTGATTTGTTAAACAAATGCACTATTCCTAAAATCCCTATTAGAACAATCTATGATTATGGATGGTTTGTTAAACTCTCTTCTAAATAACTTGTTAAAACAACTGAGCAATCTTTAGCTTTAAATTCGTCTGAACAGACTATTCGTTTGTTAAACAAGCATGATGTAGATGTTTATAGAAACTAATATAATTATCTGCATATTGGTATGGTTCAAATTGCTTTTAAGCCATTAACCCTTAAAGGGTTACCAGAGATATTTTTGGCTGCTCTCAGAGATGCCAGAAATTTAAATTTTAGACAGTCTCTGATGGGTTCTATTGAATCTACTGTTGCCTACGGCCCAGTATATTTTAATACTCAACCCAATCTGCAATTATCTCTATCTGATGTTAATATACTTGATGCATTAACATTAAATGTGAAAACGCATGGTTATAATTATGCGCCTGGTTCTGAACTTATATGTTTATCGTATAGGATTTATTTTAAATTGCTATCTACGTTAAACCCAAGATGTAAATTATATGATACATCTGATCATACCATATTAGTGGAAACGAATTTTGCAAAGTCTAAGGTCACCACGATGAGACCTATTAAGTGGGAAGAAATTAATTTTCCAACTACATGGACTTTGGATTCGGTTATATCCCCCAATCAGATAACTAATGTTGTCGGTAATACTGAGTATTCTCATATTACTCAAAATACGGATGGAAGGATTTGCATTCAGTTTGATGATAATAGTTCCACTTATAGTAGACAGTCATTTTCTAATAATAGACTGTTACCTGCTACTAGTTCTAATTATAATAGACATTCCTTTACCAATCATAGACTGTTGCCTGATATTCAACACATTTCTCCTGTTGAACCAGTCTATGGACCAGCTAGAAATCGTGCTGCATCTCTACACACAATTTCTACTAAAGTAGGTGATAAACCTGTTGAAAGGGTTAAAATTAACCCCAAGACAAATATTGTTCAGGATAGTGATAATATTTCTGATAAGGATATTCCTTCTGCGTCCGAGATGGATTTTGACCTAAATGATATTTAAATGATTTCACACCAAATTGATTTTAGTCCAGGGTCACAAGTTGGAGGTTATATTCAAAAAGAATTTTTCAGTGAAAAATGAAACCGGTTTAAAACTTGATTTTTTGATACTTATAGTAAAGAAGATTTAAACAATATTTCTCAAGAATTTTATGAAACTTGTGCTTTACATAATCAAATTATGTGTTTTGTTCCTTGATTTATAACCACATATTTATCACATTTTATAAAAGTTTTAGAAAGATCTTATAAAGACGGGAGTGGAAATATTACTAAAGTCATTTACCCTCCTCAAGCACCTTTTGTTTTACCTAATAATACAGGTATTACTTTTACTGCATTTCAAAAATTTATTGATGAAGATATTGCTGCAGTTAGCATCGCATAAATTAATAAATTAATTTCTCAAAATAATTATTTGAGCTTATATGTTAAAGTTTTGGGAGAACATATTAGTTTTCTTGATAAAAAACTTGATGATTTAACAGTTTTGATAAAAGAAATGAGTACTAGCAAGAAAATAACTGATATTGCCTCTACTTCAGGAAGCAAATCAGAACCTCAAATTGTTTTTACTCATATTCAAAGACCTCCTGAGATTCAGGATTTTAAATTTAAATCTTTAAATGATTTAGAAGAACTTCTTGATAAAAAGTTATCCGGTTTGAATATCAAACCCATTGATTTATCAAAAGATTTTGCTGATAAATTAGATACTACTTTTGACTATAAAAAGGATGTTTTGTCAGAGTTTAATAAACTCAGAAGTTACCCCAAAAAGAATAGTAAGTTTGCAGATAGCGGATACGCTGATAAACCCAGAATGCAAACTTATTATTACAACCGTCCAACTCCTCAAGATGTTTTAATAGAGGAACGTGATTGGAATCAGACTAATACATCTTACAGTGGTCCCGAAATTTACGAATGGAATCTTGATGGATTAACTGATAGACAATTGACTATTCTTGTACATACAATGCTTATGTATGCAACTATCTGTAAAAGTGTGAAAAATACAGATAGAAATATTTGCAGAATGATTGCTGCAGGTTTTACTGGCCAACTTCGTGGTTGGTGGGACAATTATTTGACTATCGAAGAAAGAGCAATAGTTATTAATGCTCAAGCCACTGAAGAAGGAGTTGATAACTTAGGAATGACCCTAGTGGCAAATAGAGAAGATGTTGTTTATACTCTTATTCTTACTATATTAGAACACTTCAACGGTAGATTTACCAACCAGAATGAGACTGTCCGTACTCTCCTTAATGGCCTTAGATGTAAGACCTTAGGTGAGTTTAGATGGTATAAAGATACTTTTATAAGTAGAGTGATGGAACTAACAGAAAATAAGCTTGAACATTGGAAAGCTAAGTTCATAGATGGCCTTCCCTCTTTATTTGCTGAAAGAGTTAGAAAGATTTTAAGAGGTAGTTATGGTGAAATTTCATACAGAGACTATACCTATGGTAAGTTGATAGGAATTTGCACACAGGAAGGGTTAAACCTGTGCAATGAATTAAGATTGTCCAGACAGCTTAAAATGGATAAGCTTAAGGAAAGAAACCAATTAGGGAACTTTTGCACCCAGTTCAGTTTACCCGAGACTTCTACTCATAAGAAGAAGAAACATAAGTATCATAGATACCCCAACCAAGACAGTCCTTATAGGATAAAGAGACCTAGATATAGATCCAAAGAGGAACGAGAAGCTAAGAAAGCCTATCGCAAGTCTACTAGATTTACCAAAAATAGGTCTAAGAGAGATCTTGCTGACATTAAGTGTTACAAGTGTGGTAAATTTGGCCATATAGCCCCGAATT